CAAATTTTATTTTTTTATCTTGCTGAAAATTTGACCTAACATTATTACAAAATTTTTAATTTTACTTGTCGATAAAATGCGTTTTTCTATCATGTGTAAAAAGTGCTTTGTAACAACAAATGCAAGTTACGTGTTACAGCTAATACTCCGGCTTTTGCTGTTCTCTATCCGCGTCTTGCTCAATTACAGTTTGAACGTTTATTCATGTACGATACATACAGAAGACATATGTATACGTGCTGCTACCTTGCGCCCGATATATCACGCTTCGCGTTACATTTTTTGTTTAATCGATCGTTTGCGAGTTTCGCAGTAATTAACCAAACTCCATCTAAACTGCTGACATACACGTTCAAATTTATTGAACGGTAAAACTCACACGGTGTTCTTCTTGATTTAAGAGTATCTACTTTTGACATGTGTGATGTTACATTACTATTGAATATAGTGAAGTTATGCTGCTTATTTGCGAAAAAGGAACTGATTATTCGAAATTTATAAATACTAGCACAACACGTGAGTTTTTCATATGCAATTATATTTCTACATATATGTATATATATATATACCGTAATCACGTGAAGTCAGAGACCTCGCCGCGATCGCGCGACCGAGGTCAGTGACCCCCCCCAAAGTCGCGCGGCCCAGGTCAGTGACCCCGCCAAGGCCGCGCGGCCGAGGTCAATGACCCCGCCAAGGCCGCGCGGCCGAGGTCAATGATCCCGCCAAGGCCGCGCGGCCGCGGTCAGTGACCCCGCCAAGGCCGCGCGGTCGAGGTCAGTGACTTTAACGTAGTATGTATATAATACATACAATGTATGTATATAATATACAATATAAAGTATAATATTATAAAATATATAATAAATTATATGTATAATATATATATATATATATATATATATATATATATATATAATTTAATGTTATACAATATTATATAATATAAATTACAGTCACGTTACTTTAGTCACGTGTTGTTTTTCTACTCTTTCCTGTCACGTGACTTTACTTTAGTCACACATTTTTAATTTTCTCCACATAGGACAAACTGTCAAAATTGCTTTTTTGTCATTATTTACTGTCTCGATGTTACCGATTTGACTCGACTTGACTCGATCAATCAACCAATTGACAACGCGGAAAAAAGGCAACAATAAATGCGATAGATTCGACTCCGAAACGCGCATTTCGCGGTACACATGGATTTTTTTTATATAGGAGGTCTATAAATCTAATTACTTCAGATATTAATATTATGCATTTATTTATAAGTTTTAAAAATAAAAAAAATAATATCGCGCTTTATGTACAATTGTAAAATGTGAGGAAAAAAGTCGATAAAGCCAATAAGCTCATCGTTATCACATACACATTTAAGCGCCAAAAATATATAAATTTATTATAATAAAATAAAACCGTCAATGGATGTTGCGGTTTTATAATTTTAACGAGTTCTATATATAAATTATAATATATTCATGAGTATTACACATTTTACGTATATACTTTTAATAAACGCATTTTATTGCAATTATTTATTTAACGTTGTAATTTATGAAATTGCTTATTTTAAAAAGATAATGCAGCATTGATTAAATATAATTTAATATTTTAAATATTTTAATCGAGAATATAAGAATAGAAAAAGATTACATATTTCTATCATTTATCTTATTTTTAACTTTTTGTATAATTTTGTTTTTAAATTATTTAAATAATGTGATTTAATAATAAAATAAGTTTAAATCAACATTAAATAAGCTTAGTTTTGTTTAATATTTTAATAACATGAAACAAAAACAAATTAGTTATTTTCTGAATATATGGAAAATATTTTTTGTGACATAGTAGTGTATTTACAGCTCAATTACGTACAGTCGCTAGAAATATTACATTCTTGCACAACACTTCTATTTGGAATTGAATGCTATTCCAATCATACTTTTTTCCTCCTCCTTTTCTTTTTTCTCTTTCTTTCTTTCTCTTGGAAAAGATAATTGTTACTAAAAACGAAAAGTTTCCAAAATTCCACTGAGCAAGCAGTATTGCATTGCTCAGCACCGAAAACGCGTATCGCTTGCGTTTGCGCTTTTCGGCTGTTTTCTTTGAAAGTATGTACGTTGGCAAATAATGTACTCTAAACAAAGAAAAAATCTACAAGTAAAAGTTTTTTTTTTTTAAAAGACAAAGCAATTTTTGCTGATAACGAGTTTAAAGAGTTTCATTTTGTCTCAAGCTAAACTGATAAAAAAAATTGCTTTTATTAAAAACTGTAATTTTATTATGTTTGAAGTGAGAAGACACGTTTAATATACAAACATAAACAATAGCTACAAGCGTGTCTGTTAATTTCATTTTTACGTAAACGCTCATGGTATGTCGTGCTTCGTTGGTTGTTGCAACTCTATCCCCCATACACTTACAGCAACACAATTTGCATTGCTAATATAAATATCAAGCCCGAAGCGCAAGGAAAGCTCGTAGACTCCAACATTTACCAAAGTCTGAGAACAGTCGCTGATTACGATCTTAATTGACGACTTCTTAGCGGCGTATCTCTCATTTTCCGATTGTTTCTTCATTCGCGAATTAGTAAAAGAGCAAGCAAGATTTCCTTCTTACTTAAGATTTCACACTTACGTCAATTAGACTTTAATTGCAACAAAATTACGTTATACAAATATGCTTACGACGCAAAAAAAATCATATACTCGGAGTTTGAGTCATCGTTCAAAGTTCTAAAAGCAGATTTTTTCGTCGGACATAAAGTGCAATTTATCTTAGGAGATGTTCCGGTTTTTCTCGTCGACACCTGTCCCGAACTTTCCGAAATTTCTCGCGCCAACTGGAGCTTAAAGTAAAGTACGCGATGTCACTCGAAAGGTTTTTTTTTTTTTTTTTAACCTGCGTCCGAAACTATCAAGAGGAGAATCTTTGGCAAGTACCAACGTGTGTTAGCGGTGCAAATAAAATTTACCATCCAAGTTTGCGACCGAACTTACCTAGCTACGAGCTTCCGAGTTTATCGCCGTGTGCATCTTTTAATAGGCTCCAGAGTGGTGATTCATCGAAGAGACTTAATTAAGCATCCCATAGAATTTTGTTATGTGTGAGATTTTATTTTCCGCAATATCAGAAGATATATAATTCTAAATAATATTACAGTAGCCAGTTGTCGGAATGGTTTTGATAATTATTACAGAGCGGTCGTTAAAATGACACAAAACTGGAACGTCATCGATTAAGTCATTTCCGAGTGCTACAGTCTGGGACACTACCCAATTTGAGTCAACTAAGTTAGTAGAAGTTATGCCACGTTGCGCTCCAACTACCATAGATGAAAATTCGCCCAGGGGTATTATGGCGTTGGTATCACGGGGTCGACAGCACCGGAGAGCTAACCTACTGTAATTCCCAAGATGACTTTAATCCGTTGTCACTTAAATCATTCCTTATTACAAGTTTTGTCGCATTCGAACATTTTATTTGACGGCAAATTGCTCCAAAGATACTTAAAGACGAACCATTATTTGTCTTTAGAATAAAGTTTTAGGGGTCGTTGTGTAAAATTTCTGGAAGGAGCATCTGTTGAAATACAGTTTTTCAATTTATTTACATAGAATGTCTTCTTAAAAAGAAACTTTTTGACGAAGGCCGAAGTGTGAAGATAAATGAGGTCAATCTGAATGAAAAAGTCCTGCACATTCGCAATTGTTATCGTATTAATTAGTTAATATGAGCGAGAAAATCGGCGTATATAAAAATCATGTGATTTTTAGTCGTAAAGAAAAATTGCTTACTTCGTGTAATCTCTTAGCAACGAGAGATGGAGTAATTATGTGTGGCATGGCTTCTTGCCATCAGCTGATAGTCATGTATTGATTTCCTGAAAATCACATGATTTTATACACCTAAAGTTTGGACCATCGTTTTCCACGTGCTCATATTAATTAATTAATTAATATCTTAATAACCATTGTAAATTTTGCAAAATGACGCGTAACTTTTCTGTTTTAAAATTTTTCTGTTCTGTTCAAATAATCCAATCCTTTCAGCTGTGTCAAAGAGTTTCAAACACTTTGTATATACATATATTGAAGGAAGGAAGAATATAGATTGTTTATGCTTATATATCTTTTTTTAGATATGCACTAGATAAATGTGCACATATTAGCCAACTGTAATATAGGCTATAGATTTTACTTCCAATAATTCACTACCGACAATCCATTCAGTTAATTAATCGTAGAGATTATTAAATGTGGAGATTAGTTAGCACGAAACAATTGAAATTGTTTTAAAGAGGTGGAAAGCTGTAATGTGCGCGCCATGTGCTCGCTCAATAGAAATTGCAATTGCAACTTCTACCCATTCACTCTGTACACATTTTGCGACGATATACTCGCGCGATGGTTTTGCCAGTAGAAAAATAAAGGTATGAACTAATAATTACGCATATCGCGGGCACTTAAAACTGTATCATAAAAATCTCTGATATAAAAAGATCAAATTTATAAAGCCTTTTATAATAACTGATCGATGTTAAAAATTTTACATATACTGCTGAATATTTATGGTGATAACAACACATTATAATTTTTGGTAATCAAATGCAGAAAAGAATGTTTGTAAATAAAAATAAATATAAAATACTTTACAAAATTAATAAGTATTTGAATTTAAGTGTACAAACGCACAACATAATATTGCAATATATATATATTGCAATCGGCGATATTAGTTTAAAATACATAAAACATTTCAGTAAGCTTTCTAAAAGTAAAATAATATTGTCTGTAGTGTATTCGTTAAAATATTAATTGATTTATATTGTAAATTTTAATATCTCTCTCCGACCAAATGTTTACAAATACTATACAGTTTGAGTTTGTTTATTTTGAACTTTTAAAATGCAAAACTTTTTGAGACATCGAGTTAATCAACAGTTAAAGACTCGTTAACCAATTATTTAAAAAAACTTTGTAATCGCCACTCACCCTCATGGTCGAAGCCTCACATGGTCCCACCGATGCTGAAAAACACCTTCAGTTTGCAGGTGGATTCTGTCACCCATCCGCCATACTCCGCAGTTCTTCGGAAAAACAACCGATGGGCGTCACTTGTCTCGCACGAGGCAATTCTCACACCCGACCCCGACCTTCGACCTTCTACACCGCAATCCTTGACACAAATTCTCTCGATACGTCCAAATTTCGCTCTCGCAGTTTTGTATCCGATTCTCTGGAAAACGCGCTCGTGCAGTGAAAGAAATTTTCACGCACACCTGACGTTTGTATGACAATTGCTGGAGCGAACCACAGCAATCGAGTCAGACAAATTCATTGAACGAATTCACAAACAAGCGCAGCAAACGTGACTGCAGATGATTTTGCAATCACTAAATACACTTTACGTAAAAAGCTTTCGCGGACGTTTTATTAATTTTCACATATTGAAAAATTTCGCAGAATTTGCTTTTCTTTTTTACAGAGTTTTCTTGATGATGAAACAGAGACTGCAGATGTTTATTGGAAGCTCGAACGCAAGCTCCGGAACAATTGGCGGAGAAACGTGGATCTGTGAAAGTTCTCTCGCGCAGCACCGAATCGAACGAACAAGCGAACGGGCTGATGCGAGGTCGTGGCCCGGCAGCCGGCGACTGGCTGCTGCTAGAAAGCTCGCAAGCTCGAGCCAGTCGGCCTGGCTAGGCGCAAGCTCCCTACTACGCGGCCTCGAAACACCCAAGCGAACACACCACCGCGTCGCCCATCCTCGGGAGAGGGTTTCTTCTGGCGACTCGTGTCGCCGTGGAAAACGGTGCCAGATATTTGGCAGCTTGCGGCGCCTTAAAGTTGCGCATGGCGCATTCACTGTTTTCTATTTGTGTGCAATTGATGATATACATCATATTGAGAGATAGAAAATTGTTTCAGAGTCTGATATTCTCTTTACTCTAGACGATAATATCTTAGTGTATTTATTTAACATTAAATATTTATGTATATGCATACACACACACACACACACATAATGTAAAAATGATATGTATTTAATTAAAAAACATAATTATATTTAATAAAAGAAAAAAACAAATATTTATAATAAATTTAAATGTTCAACAAAAGCAGATAGTTTATAATCTTGTTGGATATTCAGTGGTTTTCAAATTTTATAGAAAAATAATTTATATATATATTTGAGATGCAAATTAAGTACCTCAGATGAATGTTTGAATTGATATCAATTGGGATCTTTACGTGTATCGATTTACACGTTTAAAAATACATTTACACGTATTACATGCAGCATTGGTTCGTATTGTAAAATCGATCGGCTGCGTGTATTTACAATTGTAATATCCAAATTTTAGCAATTTTACTTTTCTTAGCATTACAAAGCAACGTTTTTCCCTCGGATTTTATAAAATATTGTCGTATCCGTGTTCTATGGCATTAATGTAAGAAAATAAAAACGAGTAGAGATTTTGTAGAGTAGAGAGAAAAGGCGAGTTCCTTTTTTACATATTTTTGCGGGGTAAATTACTTTCCCACGAAATACCGATTCTGCGAATAGATGAATTGAATATAATCTGTCGCGAATCGGCGTTAATCGCAAAAGCTGATATCGATATTAACCACTTGCGGTGCAAAGAAATTCACAGTTGCGCGTGTCAGAACGCGCATCAACTGATGATAAAATTACATATGTATGAATACTAAATTTATTTATTAATAAATAAATGCGTCACAGTTGACGTGCCACGCACGTCATTTTTCTTTCTGCAACAATCGCCTGACGACGTGTGGAACACGTCGCTGGCGTTCCAGTGAACTGAAGCATCTCGACGTGCGTGGCACGTCTTTCTACCGCAAGTGGTTAATGGCAACGCGAATATAATGCTACATTCGTTGGTATTTCCAATGATTAATCGATAATGAATTACCGCACCACTTCCGACTGCAAGCGTGTTAGTCGATTTTGTGCGCCATTTCTTTTAATAACGTCCAATGGAAATAAATTATCTTAATGAAATATCTTTTTGCATATAAATACAAATGATACAATTTTGCGCGGTAATATTTACATTTTATAGAAAATTAAATTAAAATGCCAGATACACAGACGTGTACAATATAAGTGAATTAAACAGAACGCGTGCACAGATATTTTCCTATTTTATATTATATTTAATAGACTATGATAAAATTTAAATATAACAATTAGAAAAAAGTTGTATGTACTATGTATTGTAAAGTAAAATGTTTTTTAATTTTCTCATTTTTCTCAATATCTTAAAAATGCGAAAGACCAGTTTAGTGTCACAATATTTTATTGAAAAAATTGCTTTTAAATTGTGTAAGAAAACGGCCTACTGTAAAATATTTAAGATACCAACAAATATAAAGCATTTTCTATAGATGAATGCTTCGAATCATATTCCATTGTGTTTCTTTACGACACGCGCCGATATGTTTCCCGCTGGCGTTTGCGGTGTGAAGTTTATGACGAGCGTAAAAAGTTTTATCGGCAATTGCTTTGGCGCGAGAAGATACGTGTCTGGCCCCGACAAAAAGAGGTGACAATAAAAGGGGGTGTGACGGGGGTCTTGACAAATTTTCGTTAATTATTCTTGACAGACCGACGAAAACGTCACTATGTCGTACATGTTGGATCGTAGCTTGCAAAGCTCGTACTTGCGGCCGACCCGAGCATAATTGCGGCATCGTGGCCGACCACAAAGTGCTTTGATAGCGCGAACACGAAGCTGCTGGTTCGTGGGGAACCGGAAAGCGCACGGACATCACTTTTATTTTGTGCGTTTTAATTAATTTTACGCGCGCAAAACGAATTCCGAGCGCGCGCGTGTTAGGCGGGCGCAGCCATCCGCGAGAAACACTTTTGTCCGAACAGCCAGTTTGGAAAATTGAACGGGAAATTGCTTTGATATGATAATTTACGCATGTATCTGTTGAGACTTAGAGAAATGATCGGTATAAAATATGACGCGACTTTAATTAGTGATGCTTCACGAAGCCAAACTTGATGTAAAATAAATAAAAAAGCAGTCGCGAAAAACATAAGAACTCGACGTTAAACGAGAGTTGACTCTAGATCATTATTAATAAACGCATTATCAAAATTTTATAACTGCTTATTTGTGACACACGTATAAAATAGATAAAGGATAGTCCAATCAAAATTTAATTGCTTTAACAAACGAACACAAAAATCGTCGACGCAAAAATTATCCGGGCTATTTGGCGCTTAAAGATGACGTAAAAGTACGCGCATTGTTCGACTTTTAACAGCGCAACGCACACGTATGCCGTACAGATATTTCAATGAATAAACAAGAGGCCATGCGCGACTGTTTAATCGACAAACAGAGTAATGCGAAGTAACGACCGATCACAAACGAACGTGTGTAACGTTTGCTGCTCACGCGTGATTCGGCGTGCAAAAACGTGGCAGACTTTTAATTAAAGCGCAAATGTGAAACAGCTTCTTTCGCGCGTATTTTATTAGACAGAGAGGAAGAGAGAGAGGAAGATCATCCAATTGCCGAACGTGTAGCGTTGTAATTTCGCTTGCGTCGCGTCCACAACTCGCCGCGATAACCCCATCGTCTCTCCCGTGCGCCTCGAACATATATTATCCCGCCGGTTTACGCCAACCTGAGGCAAGTGTCGTTACACGCGGGATTCGTGTCTCTCTCTCCACACGTGAATCGATATCGCGCGTCAGTTAGTCGCCAAAACGACGCCTGTCGCGATTACCGATGCTGCCGTAGTCAAATCACGCGTACCGCTGTACGGCGCAAATTGTTCGCGATTATAGTTAAAGAAGTTCTCACTCAAACTGTCTTTATACACATACACACGTGTCATAAAGACATTTAACGATTTTTGTGTGCAAAATATAAATTTCACATAATTATCTTCCTTAACTCTGCGTTGTTATTCGTTTCATTACGAGACAGATAATCTAAGATTACGTTTCGTCGGAAGCAAAGCTTCTAATGACAATAAAAAGTGTGTTAACGTGTTTTTGCCAACTCTTGAATAAGCAAACCTCTCGGCTACGAGCAATTTAATGTGGGAAAGCGATACATCCGCGGATTGAATTAGAATTTAAAATCGCTTCGCAACGCGAAGAATGAAGAGGGAGTAATAATCAATGAGTAATCATTCTCGCTTCTATTGTCGAATATCTTGAATTATCATATCTCTAGCTTGATTGCTGAAACTCGAGTCAGGGATCACATTTCAGTGTTACATTAATCGTGGTACCGATTTTTGGACTAATTAGAAAGCTGTGATTAATTATCGAGAGAGGCAGGCTTCAAGAAACCAAAGGGGGTAGCTCATAAGCTCATCGATGTTCCTTCTCGGGAACTTTCAGACCCTCCGACGTCTATTAATCTACCGGCCTTGGATAGATTCCAACGGCGCGACACGACATCTCTTAACGATGTCTTCGATCGTGTAGTCCTTCACATTGACAAGCAGCATCTTAGGTCACGAGTTCGCAGAATAAAATCTCGTTTTATCTCTTATATTTCGTAGTACTTTTCCTAATCACAAAAGAATAACTAATTAAAAATATAACTAACTTACTTTTGCTATAAGTATGAAAATAAAAACTTCATTACATCAATATATATCGAGAACTTTTATCAAAGTAATATAACAAACACATATGTATTCTAATTTGATATTAATTGCACAGCCACACAAAAAAAAAAAA